TATTTTCTTTAATTTTACTGCAGTTTCCTTTTCTTGTGTCACATGCAAGGAATTTTAATATTTTACAAATATATCTATTCTATACTCATACTCATTTGTTTGTATGGTGAGAATAATACTTGGAAAAAAGTTCACCTAATATTCAGCAATAACAACCCACCTCAATTCATTGTTGCCAAGGTAGAAACAACTCACAGCTGACCCGCCAGGGGACTTTTTGAATGCTGTCAATTCCTCCTGAGGAGAGGCTGGTGGGTTCAAACTGCTGAGCAGCCATCATTAATATTAGGTGACCTTTCCCCAGACATTCTTCTTGGCATACTCAGATAACGGAATAGGAATACAAAGTAGATATACCTTTAAAATGGCTATTTCTGAATAAAGGAGTTCTGATGGTATAGTCTAGAGGGTTGCATTACTAATGCAAAGATGGCATCTCACTGGCAGTTCAAATTCACCAGCTTTTCTGTGAAAGAAAGATAAGGAATTGATTCCTGTGCTGGTTACAGCCTCCAAAAAGTCACTGGAGCATCAGCTGTAAGTTGGTTCTGACTCAAAGGCAGTAAGAGAGAGAGAGAGATTTCTGATTAAAGGGATTTGAAATTTGTTGGTTTTGCCTCTGCTTCAATCTACTCTATTAATAATTTGCTGCTGGTGGTGGGGAGGTTGTTATTACCAGCATTTCTAGAAAATGGAAATTTTCTAGCACACCTAGTCCTGCTCCATCATATGATCAGTGTGCTGGACCCTTGCTATCCATAGAAGGCATCAAGCTTCTTTTATTCTTTTACTACATGGCCTTTTAACTGTGCATCATCTACATCATTATCTCCTTAAAATATAATGTAAATTAAGGAAAAGAAACAAAAATAAATTTGAGAACAAAATAAAGATAAACTTGGGCAATTGAGGTTTGAAACTGCTTTCTCAAGGTTTAGGAACCTCAAAGTCCAACTTTAGAGCACCAACTCTAAGGGGAGGCTAGTTCACAGGAAAATGCCTTAAGTTTCTGCACCTAGGCAACTTTTATGTGGCTGACATCTCTTTCTTCTGTATCTGTTTCTTTTACTTGCTTGTTTAATCTTTTTATATCACAAAGAAAGACTTATTTAAGACAAATCTTGTACTAATCTGGTCTCATTTATACAATAAAAACCCCTCCTCAAATGGGATTATCACCACAGACGTGGTTGTTAGGCGCCGTCCAGTCGATAAGGACTCAGAGTCCCTCTGAACAACAGACCAAAACCTTACCCTATCCTGCACCAATCTCACCACCTCCATCATGCTCACGCCCTCAGTGGTAGGCATTGTTTCAATCCATCTCATTGAGGGGATTACTCACTTTTTATGATTCCACTTTTATCAGCAAGATGTCTTTTCCCAAAAATTGGCACCTGCTTATAATATGCCCAAAGTATATTATAGGAAGTTTGGCCATCTTTGTGTTGGTTCAGGTGCACCTTAGTTTTTAAACTGACCTTCTTACTCTTTAAGATTTAACAGAGGTCCTTAACAGCAGCTTTATCCACTGCAATGTCTTTTGATTTTGTGATGGCTACTATCATGGTGTTGATTGTGAATCTGAGTAAAGCAAAATCACTGGGAACGTGAATCTTTTTTTTTTTCATCTATCTTGAAGATAAAGAAAAAGAAAAAGATGCCTATTGGTCCAGTGTCAATTAATCTCATCTAGGGTCTTCCTTTTCTGCACTGTCCCAACACCCTAAAGAAAAAGAAAAAGAAAAAGATGCCTATTGGTCCAGTGTCAATTAATCTCATCTAGGGTCTTCCTTTTCTGCACTGTCCCAACACCCTTCCAAGTATGTTGTCCTCCTCCAAGGACTTGTCCCTCCTGCACACATGCCCCATGTATGTAAGATGGAGCTTCAGAATCCTTGCCTCTAAGGAGAAACTTGGTATGGTAACTGGGGTAATAGGGGTAGATGTGTCAGAATTAGTGAGCCTGGATCAGGACAGGGCAGGGTTCAGAGCTACTGTACAAAGAGTCACTTTGAGTTGAGGCAACTCGAAGGCACATAATAACAACAATTGTTCCAGTGCTGAGGATCTTTATTTTCTTTATGTTGAAGTATGACCCATATTGAAGGCTGTAGTCTTTGACCTTATTCTGCAAGTGATTCAAGTCCTCCAAGCAAGGGTGTTCTACCTGTATTACATAGGTTGTTGATGAGTCTTCCTCCAATTCTGATGCCATATTCTTCTTAAGATAGTTCAACTTCTCAGCATATAGATTAAATAGGTGTTATATGCTCAGGGCACAGATTGAACAGGTATGGAAAAAGGATTCAACCCCAATGCACATGTTTTCTATTATAAATAATGCAAGAGCCACTTAATTTATTAAAAAAGATTACTTCTTATCCAGGTACAGGTTTCATAGGAGTACAATTAAGTGTTCTGAAATTTCCACTCTTCTCAATGCCATCCATAATTTATTTAACTCACATAGTCAAAAGCATCTGCATAGGCAATAAAGCACAAGTGTCTTTCTGGTATTCTCTGCTTTCAGCCAAGATCCATCAATCAGCAATGATATTTTTCATTCCATGTCCTCTTCTAAATTCAGCTAAATTTCTGACAGTTCTCTGTCAACACACTATTTTAACCACTTTTTGATAATCTTCAGCAATATTTTACTTGCTTGTGATACTAATGATATACCTCTTTTTTTAAAAAAAAATTGGGAATAAGAATCTGTTTAGTCCATTGGCCAGGTAGCCATATTTTGTAATTCTTGGAATAAACTAGTGAGTCTATCCAGGGCTGCACGTGTGTGCTGAAAACCTTCAGTTAGTATTCTGCCCATTCCCGGAATCTAATTTTTTTGCTAATGCTTTTAGAGCAGCTTGAATTTCTTCCTTCAGTACCATAGCTTCTTCTGAAATGGTCAGGTGTTGATGAATTTCTTCTGATACAGCAAAAGTTTGTATTCATTGTCTTCTTTTGATGTTTCTTATTATTCTTTAGAAATTTTGCCTATGTTGCTGTTGTTGTTATGTGGTGTCAAGTCGCCTGCGACTCACAGCAACCTTATATGCAAGAGCCCTAAACCCTGCTATATCCTGTGCCAATCTCACTGTCTCTGACACACCTACCCCTATTACCCTAGTCAACGAATTAAGACATCTCATCAAGGGTCTTCCTTTCCTGTGCTGTCCAAGGACTGGTCCCTCCTTGCAACATGTCCAAAGTGTGTCAGATGAAGCTTCAGGATCCTTGCCTCCAAGGAGCAGCCTGGTTTAACCCTCTCCAGGATGAACCTGTGAAGCAGCTGATGGATTCGAACCGCATGCCTTTGGGTAAGCAATGCAACTCTTGCACGTGAGGCATATACCAAATACAATAGAAATATGCATACACTGGGTAGAGAGAATTGAGATAATAGAAGTTAGAGATGAGGATAAAAAGACCAACAAAATAAAAGAGAAAGACTGCAAAGACTAATGGTAAATATATACCAATTTTTCTAAATGGTTCTTCAAATGCCTAATCTAAACAATCAATATTTTTCCCCCAGATTACCTGATTAGACTCCTGTTGATCAACTTTCTCTCACTCTTGGGCCTCTATAATCATATCTCCACACATAACATGTGTTTTATTGTCACTTTTCAGAAAAGAACAAAACAAACAATATACCTCTGATGGTTTCCTATCACATTCAGACTACAATCCAAATTCCTTACTATGATTTGTAACCTGCTTATCCATTATGAACTGATTTATGTTCCCTGCTTTAAAAAATGTGCAAGTCTTTCAGAGGCGCATGGTTCGAATCCATCAGATACTCTGCCGGGGAAGGAGGGACAATCTCCTCCTGTACCTGTCAGATCTGATTTGATGGTACACACACACACAAATAATAAAATAAAAAAAATTTTTTTTAAAAAAGTGCAAGTCTTAGGGGAGCTCTGGTGGCCTAGTGGCAAGGAGCTGCAACTACAATCCCAGAGGCACACAGTTCGAATCCACCAGATGCTCTGCTGGGAAAAGGAGGGACAATCTCCTCCTGTACCAGTCAGATCTGATTTGATGGTACACGCACACAAAAATTTAAAAAAAAAGTGCAAGTCTTAACCACTGTACATGTAAAACTGACCTTGGAGACTCCTTGGAAATGAGCAGAGTGGATATGAACTCTAATGGCCCTGGAGTTGTTGCTGTTAGGTGCTAGCAAATCAACTGTGACTTATAGCAACACTATGAATAACAGCTGAATCTCTATCCTTACAACCTCTAATATGCTCAAGCCCACTCTAAGAGTCAGTGTGTCAGTCCATTTTGTTGAAGGTCTTCATCTCTTTCTTTTACCCTCCACTTTTCCCAGCTATGAGTCTCAAGCAACTAGATGGCACATAACAACAACATAACTATCATATAGAGTGAATAACAACTCATTTAAATTACATATAGCCTGACCCTGTATGTTCCTCCCTTTAAGGAGGAAAAACTAGTAAACATTTATTTGTAAATCCAGATTAATACAACTTTCTACCTATTCATGTTTTTTAAGTCAGTAACTGATTTTTTTTTCTTAAGGATTTTTCTTTCCTAACAACTGTGTGGTTTCCTGGTTGCTGTGTGTTGTTGAATCAGTTCCTACTTGTAATGAACTCTCTGTTACAGAGTAACTGCCTCCTAGGCTAGACTCTATGGGAGCAGATTGCAGGTCTTCTCTCTCACTCAGCCATTGGTGGATTCAAGCCAACAACCTTTCAGTTAACAGTCAAGTCCTCGACCACTGTGTTATCAGTGCTCCTTCTACTTATAGATTATGTATTATCTATTAGACTTGTTAAAAGGGTAGACTTCCTTTATCAGTTAAAACATTTTCTATTCTTTTCATTATTGAAAGTGGTAAAGTTAATAAAAATTCTGTCAGTATTCTCACTGCAATTTCTTCAGCTGAAGAATAGAAAACAAATATTCTTAAAAAGACAAGATGATAGTTCCTATATGTTCAGTTTCATTTTTACCTCTATACTGAAATAGCCTCTGTCCACATAGTCACCAAGAAAGAGGTAGCGTGTATTGTTAGGTGATCCTCCAACTTCAAATAACTTCATAAGATCAAAGAACTGTCCATGGATATCACCACATACTACGGGGGGAAAAAGAACATAAGGTGAAGTCAAAGTTTCTTAGGGAAAAAAGGCGTAGAGGTTGCATCCTAACAAAAGAGATTACAAAAAAAGTTTAACACAAGACTAAAAGAACAAAGTAAGTTTTTAAATTTTATCCGTTTTTATTAGGTTTCTCGATAATTTTCGTATAATTGTACTTTTATGAACTAGTCATCCTACAAATACTAAAACCCCAAAACTCATTGCTGTTGAGTAGATTCTGAATCTTAATGACCCTATGGATGCAAGTCGAGGATTCTGAAGTTTTGTTTCACATATTTTGGGCATGTGGCCAGGAGGGACCGATCCTGGGAGAAGGACATCACACATGGAAGGGTGAAAGGACAGCACAGCAGAGGAAGACCCGGATGACATGGACTGACACAGTAACTGGGGTAATGAGGGTACAGGGTAGGTGTGGTGAAGTCAGTGGGACTGGCTCAGGACAGGGCAGGGTGCAGAGCTGCTGTACAGACGGTCACAATGGGTCATAGGTGGCTTGATGGCACATAACAACAACAACAACAGTGACCCTATAGGGTACAGTAGAATTGCCCCACAGGGCTTCCCAGGCTGTAAAGGAAGCCAACAGCCACATCTTCCTCCCATTGAGTAGCTGGTGGGTTCGGACTTCTGACCTTTTTGTTCACATCAGAACACTTAAACCCTATAGCACCATAGCTCCTTCTAGAAATATTAGACATTTAAAATTTTATTTCTTTAACGAATAACAAGTATACCCAATAATCCTAACACTTATCTCATAATTATTATAAACATTATCACGTTACATTTCAGCTGATTATTTGTATATTTTTTTTCTCCAAAATATATGTACCATCATCTAAATTCTTCTGATACCTGTGATTGGAGCATCTACTTCTATCATAGTCTTTTCTTGTCTCAGGATGGCAGCCCCATCATTGATTATCTTTAAGGCTACTTCCTCTTCCAGTCGGCCTTCCTTTACCAAATGGTTTTTCAAAACATCAATTTTAGGTTTTCCATTTTCATATACTTCCTTCAATGTGAGACGATGGGTTGGAGGAAAGGGGACAGCTAAAAAGAGAGAGAGAAAAATAAGAAAATTTATAAAGAACAACCCTAATACACTTATGTGACAAACTAAATTTAATAAATCATTAGGATTTTACATTCATAGTACTTGAACAATGTGAGGAGGGGAAGTTCAACATACTACATACCACAAACACTCAATTTGAGAAAGGCCAAAGTTACAATTATTTGAAAAATGTGTGGCTACACACACAAATATACATCCAAATATTACAGTTTATGTATATTATATGAACCTGAAAGACTTCTGAAACTAATTCATGGAACAAAATAAAAGTGAAACAAGGAAGAAAGAAAAAAAGTGAAACAAGGGACTAGATGGTATGAAGTATTCTTTATATCTATGGAGAAAGTGTTGAAGATAAAACTATAGTTAAAAAAATGGAAGAAAAGAAATCACAATAGTAGAAGAATACTTCTTTCCTTTCAGAAATAACTTGATTAAATCATATGTTTTAGGAGTATTCCTGATCAGATATATTCTTAAGAGGTGACCAATATATTTATTACTAATAAAAATAAGAACATTATTAACAGGAGTTATATAGAGAATAATATCCTGTAGTAATAGAGCATAAACAAGAAGAACAGTTATGGAGAGTCTAGTTATATTTTTTATTAGAAATGCCTTCATATTCCTGTGTATATTTCACTGTTTGGGTTGTTTTTCTCCTATAAAGCACCTTGATTAAACCACTAAAATAATGGAATACTACCTTGAGATAAGGAGACCATAAATATTCCAGGGTCAGTGAAGCATATAAAGGGTCTGCAAAAGAGAGGAAGACCCTCTATGGAACAGACTGATATATGGGCTGCAATAAAGGGGTTGTGTGCAGGTGAGATGGTGATGATGGTACAGGATAGGGCAAGGTTCACAGCAATGGCAAGAGAAGGAGCTCACTTGACAGCACCTACCAATTATAATTTATATCCTAGATTGTTGTTGTTGTTATGTGCCATCAAGTTGCTTGTGACTCACAGTGACCCTATGTATAAGAGCTCTAAATCCTGCTCTATCCTGCACCAACCTCATTGTCTCTGGCACACCTACCCCCATTATCCCAGTGACTGAATCAATCCATCTCATAGAGGGTCTTCCTCTCCTCCACTGTCCCTCCACCCTCCCAAGAATGACGTCCCTCTCCAAGGACTGGTCCCTCTTTGTAACATGTCCAAAGTATGTCAGATGAAGCTTCAGAATGCTTGAATCCAAGGAACAGCCTGATTTAACCTTCTTCAGGATGAGTCTGTTTGTTCTTTTAGCAGTCCATGGTATATTCAACACTCTCCTCCAGCACCACAGCTCAAAGGCATCAATTCTTCTATCATCCCTAGTCTCTGTCCAGCTCTCTAATGCACAGCAAGCAATTGTGAAGACTATGGCCTGGATCAGGTGCACCTGTCTCCAGAATGATGACGTTGCTCTTTAGTACTCTAGAGAAGTCCCTGACAGCCGACTTTCCCAATGCAAATCATCTTGATTTCCTGGCTTCTGGTGCCAAGAGTGTTGACTGTGGAGCCAATCAAACTAAAACTGTTAACTATCTCAATCCCTTCACCATCCATAATGATGCTACCAATTGGCCCAGTGGTAAGAATCTTTGTTTTCTTGATGTTGAGCTTCAATCCATATTGAAGTATATTCAATCCATTCTGCAGCAAGTGCTTCAGGTCCTCCTAAGTTTCAGTAAGCTGGGTTCTAACATCGGCATAACGCAGGTTGTTTATTAATCTTTCTCCAATTTTGATGCCACATTTCTCCTCATACAGCCCAGCCTCTCGGATGATCTGTTCTACATATAGATTGAAAAGGTATGGAGACAGAACACATTCTTGGTGGACCCCCTTCCTGATTTTGAACCATGCAGTGTCTCCTTGCTCTGTCCTGTCTCCTGGTCCTAGTATAGGTTTCGCAAAAGCATGATCAAATTTTGTCCAGGATAAGCCCAGATTTTACTGCCTATCCCAGCATAACGATTTAAGAGCCTCTTTACACTCTCAAGAATATACTAATTTAAAGAATACATTAGGTGGTCACTCTACTTTTAAGTGAACGCAGAAAATTTTCTAGTTCTTGATTTGTGTAATTCTTTTGGAATATCAGCTGATCATCTTAATAGGAGAACCCAATTTTTTTTAGAATCCACTTCTAATGTAATAAAAAAATAAAATATTAGTGATACAAGTTTTATTTATTTGAAAGACCTTCTGAGACAAAATAAAAGGTTAGACCTGAAAAAGCTTAGTTTTTTTTTTACTAAGACACAATGGTACTCTGGGTTTTAAAAACAAAAATCCTTATGTTTAGAGATTTTTATTAAAATAGTTTTGAATTAAATTAACAGTGTTGTTGTTAGGTGCCGTTGAGTCAAGTATGACCCCAGTGACCCTATGAACAAAAGATCTGAACCTTGTTCTATCGTGTGCCATCCTTACACTTGCTGACACACTAGAGCCTATTGCGGAAGCCACTGCGTCAATCCAACTGGTTGAGGGTTTTCCTCTCCTTTGCTGACTCTCTGCCTTTCCAAGCATTATGTTCCTCTCCAAGGACTAACCCCTCCTAGCAATATGCTTGAACTGTGTGATGCAAAGCTTTATCATCTTTGCCTCCAAAGAGCACTCTTGTTGCACTTTCTCCAAGACATATTTGTTTGTTCTTTTGTCAGTCCATGGGATGTTCAGCACTCTTCTCCAATAACACAGCTCATCAAGTCATCTTCTGTCATCATTATTTATAGTCTAGTTCTCAGATGCATAGCAAGAGATTGGAAAGACGCATGTGTTGGTCAGATGCACCTTAGTCCTCAAATTGACATAACTGTTGTTATTGTTATTTGTCATTGAGTAGCCTCCGATTCAGCGATCCTATGCACAGTAACTTAAACTGTCTTATTCTGAGCTAATCGTCTCCAACACACTGGCCTGTATTACTCCAGTCACTGTGTCAATCCATCTCATCCATGGTCTTCATCTCCTATGTTGTCCCTCCACCCTTCCAAGCATGATGTCCTTCTCTAAGGACTCTTCCTTCCTGTAAACATGCCCAAAGTAGTATGTGATGGAGTTCCGAAATCCTTGTCTCCAGAGAGCAGGTTGGTTTCACTGTCTCCAGAACAGACCTCTCTAAGACAGATCTCTTTGTTCTCTTGGTGGCCCATTCTATAGAACAAAAACTCAAAGGCATTGATTCTTCTTTTGTCATCCTTATTCATTACCCAGCTTTCTGAGGCATAGCAAGTAATTACGAAGACCATGGCACCTCAGTCTCTAGACTGACATGTTTGTACTTCAGCATTCTGGAGAGGTCCTTGATTTTCCTAATCCAATTCATCTTTTGATTTCCTGGCTGCTTGTTCCACGAGTGTTGATTGTGGACCCGAACAAGCAGAAACTGTTGACAATCTCAATGTCTTCTCCATCTATCATGGTGCTACCAACTGGCCTTGTGGTGAGAATCTGTTTTCCTGATGTTGAGCATCAATCCATACTGAAGACTACAGTCCTTTATTTTCTGCAGCAGACGCTTCAGGTCCTCTTCAGTTTCACTGAACAAGGTTGTCGATCAATTTATTTCTTAGTGCTTATTCTTAATTTCTGACTATCAAGCCTACCTAACTCTGTAGTACTACCTTTTCCCAGTCTTAAGATCATTCCAACAGGATTTTGATTTGTTGCTAATCTTCTACTTTGTAAATAAAATAAACTGATCAACAAAGTAAAAAATAAAATTAAATAACCCAAAACAAGAATGTTGAAAATGTTGAACTAGACAAAAAGGATGTTCCACAGACAAAAAGTCACTCCATTTCAATCAGTGGTATTATCATGGCTAATTAAAATAATTTTCTTCCAATATTACTCAGTTGTAATCAGAAGAGAACTTACTAAATAGGAAATTTAGTTTTCTTAGGCATTTTAAGAGTAAAGTGAGCAGAGGTGACAGCAACTAAAGAACTCGGAAGAAAGTAATTTAGAGTAATATTTTTTTTCTTTAAGTTTTTAAGTTACAATTTACTGAAAACAAAATAAAAAAGACAAGTCACTTAGTTGAATGGAAGTGAAACAAGGTTGAAGTGGATCAAGGGGATTATATATCCAGCTAAAAGAAATGGGACACAGCTTAACAAGGAACACTGAGAGGTATTAAGGTTAGCTTAGGACAACAACATGCATGAAAGAAAGTTCAAGTATTAAGTTTTTAGGTTAAGGCAAATAAAATCTGTTTCCTTAAAATAAGGAAGAAAGAATATTCAACTATAGAGGAGTGGGTCCTATTTCTCCAAAGTTATGTCCTAAAATGCCATAATGTTTTAAAGTCCTGAACACCATGTCCTTCTTTAACCATATAATTCTATATATACTCAACTGTGATTGGGTTGATTCACAGCAGAGTCACAGTTCTGTACAGACTAATGGAAAACTAGCTACATTTAGTCTGGAAACAATAGGAACTTTCAAATTAAACTTCACATTATCACTTTCTTAAAATGTGCTCCAGATACAGAGTGATCCTTTGTCTCAGCTTGCATGTTAGAATAGTCCCAGTTTATGCCTTTTGCCATGAAGTAATTATTAATGGTTGCTCCTTTTACTTTCAAGTATCCTGTTTCAAACAATCTATTTAAGAACAGCTTTCATTACAATCAAGTGAAATGTTTGTTTAATGTGAACTCTTAATAGTCAAATCTATGAATGGGATCAGATTTTGGGAGACTTTCACTTTTAAGAATCTGCATTTAACTGCTTTTGGTAATTTTTGTGTTCTGAAGACTGTGCCAGAGTAAAGCAGAAAAGTTGTTAAAGGGGATTCAAAGTAAAGAGACAATCTCAGATAATCAGCAACTTCATTCATCAGCCACCATTTCATCTTATTTTACTGATACTCACTTTTCTACCCCCAGGTCTCCTCTGTAGCTACAGAGATACTAAGAGGTTAGAAAGTGTTAAGTCCAAAGGGCTGAGAGCAGAGAGGTGAG